TCTTAAATATTTTTCTATATCATCATTTTTACTATTGTCTTTTATTTGGTAACTAATTTATATAGTTTGTGAATAAAATACATATAAATTTAAAATATAAAAATTTGAAAACACTTCCATATATCAAATGGAACATTAGTTTCTAGGTTAGCCATTAATATTATTCTACTTCTTTTCTTATTGTAAAAAGATATAGCTATTACATAATTAAAAATTGCAATAGTTCAAAATCAAAAAGCTAGATTTTGCAGCTATGTTCCAGGAGAATATAATGCTATGACTGCTTGGATTTCTAAATTGAGTGAAAAGGTGACTCGATTCGAAATAAATTGTTTGATTTAGATTAATGAATACTGCATAACAAAAAAAATTAACTCAGGAAAAAAAGGTAACTGGATAAGTTAGATTCCTTGAGCATCTATTACACATCATTGAAAAAGAATATTTACATTTTGGAGAAAAATAATGTCGTAAAAAATTAATATTTTTTCTATAAATCTTTCAGATAATCACGATGGTATTTCTAACGAGTACTAAATATATTAGTTTATGATAAATAAAAAAAAATTATAACTCAATGGAAGTACACACAAGAATTTCAAACATTTCCTTCTTACTCATATTCTAATTTTAATATGAAAAGAAAAAGAAGGAAGCTCACAACAAATAAGACCCACTAAGATTGATAGTTAAGAAAAACATGTGGCATGTCTTTCATGATATTCATAACCCATCACCATTTACTAGGTTAACCATGTGTATTGATAAGAGCATTATATATTTGAACATATGACTTAACATATAGTAAAAAACTTTCTGAGTAACTTAAAATGATACTAGAGACGCAAATAAAAGTTGTTATGTACAAACATGAACTTTTTAAAATGAATGATGATAACAATGACAACAATATCCGTACCTCTATTTTGCATCTTGAAAAATAAAATTCATGAGTCTGATCGGTTCGATTATATCTAGCACACAACCTGATCATCTTGTATATATATCGATCCAAAATAGTAATTCTTTTGATATTTCATCCACTAAAAAATCTTAACGATATGTTCAATAGAAAAAAATTCAGATTGCATTTTGCCACCAATTGCAACAAAAATCGATATTACTATGGGGTGAAAGAGGAGCAATGAAGTACCTTAATAAGAATAGAAAAACTCTTTCTAGCGGAATGCACATCTCAGGACGGCTTCTACATCCTCCCAAAGGTTGAGCTCCATTATTCTTTTCACCACCTCAGGCACCATCATATCCATCTGGAACCGGTCTCCCAGAATGCGTAAAGACTACCGTCTTGGAATCTCAGCTATGCTGAGTCCACTCATCCGAGTCGATACGTCGCGCTGACCCTTGTCATAGTCAACCAGCACTGAATTTTTCTCATCGAATGCGGCGACGTTTTGGTGGATTTTTGCAGATGTTTGGCTAAGTTGCAGGAAGCATAAGGGATTTGAGGAGCTGCAGTAACCATTTCGTTAGTTGATGAAGGAAGGAGAGAGAGTAACGGCCACGTTATCTGGTCTATATCAAGTGGCTGTGTTATCACGCCCTCTTAGAGAAAATAAAAGAACAAAAAAATACTCTCTCTCGTCCACTTCCTCTACCTCTCTCCTTATTTTCTTCTTCTTCTTCTCTACCACCCACCCTCTGTTCTACAAGAAAACTCCACTAACTTCCTCTCTCTGTTTCTTCAACTACACCCACTATGGATTTCCGCGCCGCCGGCATGGCGAACTTAATGTCATTGCTCTCCTTGCGCAGGTTCCACCCGAATGATCATCAGCTAATAAGCCATTTCTTGAGCCCCAAAGCCATGGGCCTGTCGTTGCCTTACAACAGAATCCAGACGGCCGCCATTGACAAATGGACGAATCCTGAAGAACTCGCTGGTGAGACTTCCTTTTTTTTTCCTCTTAGATTTCTGTGTTTAAAGATTTCGTTACAAAAGAATGCTCGCTCTCTTTGTTGCGGCAGATAAAGTGCCTCTGGGGAGAGATTTAGAGAGGTATTTTTTTGCAAGAACAGGGATTTTAGTTGCAGATGATCATCGAGATGATGCAGTTGGTGGAAGGGGATACTGGAAACCACCGAGTGAAAATGCGGAGGAAATTGTTTTTAATGACGACAAGATTGGTGAAAAAAGGGAACTAATCTACTTTGCAGCCGATGGATCGGAAACCCAGTGGGTCATGTATGAGTATAGGGCGTTCTTGACTGATGAACCTCTTTCTCCTTCCGCTGAACCGGACAACGTACGTGAGTATAAACAAAGAGAACTGGTTATCTTAAAAACGATAAAGAAATTAGAATTTATCATTTTGAGGTTAATCACAATGATGATGGGTATGAAACTACTGTTCTTGGATATTGACAATCAGGTTGAGAAATGGGTGGTGTATAAGCTGATAAACAAAGGGGACGTTGATGTCTATGATACAGAGGAGGCAGCGGCGGGAGGAAGGCAACGAAACTCAAACATAGCTCCCGAGAGGGTTCTGGATGAATATGATGATGTTCTTCGCACAGCAGCAGCAGAAGCAGCCGCCGCCACAGCTCTTTTCTTTTCTAATAAGCTAGATAGTAAGGAAGAGGATAAGCCGCCGGCGTCATTGACGGACCCATTGGAAGATCTCCCAGACACTAAGCGAAGAAAGGGAAACACATCTGGTGTGGTCGTCGCAGATAATTCTGATTGTGATGATGAGAATAAAAAGAATTAAGAAGCGTTTCATATTGAGTTCTGTTTTCTTTTTTCTGTTTTTTCAGTCTGAATCTGCCAATGGAGATACTCGGTTTTGTTGGTCAAGTAGAATGAATCTGCAAGTGCTGTTTCTTCATTAATGGTGGAAGGAGGTCATTTAGA